GGTGCATGGCTCAACATAAGCGGTGGTATAGGCACGCATTCCAGGCCAGTAGTACTGCTTTCTGAGGGCCGCAAAGGTCTTTTACTGGCCTCGATGGCCTGCTGTGACATGGTCGTGATGCGAATGCAGAACGTGAGTAAGGAACTCAGGGAGCTGGGGGACGCAGATGCGCCACAGTCCATGAACGCGGATGTGCAGGTAAGGCTCTACGTAGCGAAAGGTAGATTGGCGGTGACAGAACTCGATCTGCAGAGCTTCTCCTGGTTGGTTCGCTGCGGCTTCGTAGGGAACTCGAAAAACAGGGCACTTCGAGTACGCTTGCGGCCAATGGCGCGCGTCAGGGGGACCAGCGGGTGACTTCGTTGTCATTGTAGGGGGTTCCGGCTCTGGGTCGGGTTCCTGCGGCGCAGGGGAAGGCGCAGACTGCGTGCTGTGTCGTCGAGGGCGGCGCGGGCGTATTCCGGCGAGCTCGCGATAGTTGGGAGACGGACCGCGAGAGCGGGAAGCTGCGCTCGCTTCTTCTGTTGCGAGCATCAGCGGTGCCGATGGTGTGTCGTGCGAGCAGGTGTTAGAGAGGCCGGGACGGCGAGACAAGGCATCGGCAACTTGATTGCGCGCTCTCTGAACATACGTGATGTGCAAATCCGGGAATTCTGCAAGGAAGTCTAGCCAGCGGGCGGTGCGGCCGCGCAGAGGCTTCGATGCTTGGAGTCGTTGGAGATGGGTTAGAGCTTGATGATCAGTGAAAACCGTCACCCTGGAGACACGGAGCAAGTGCGACCACTTGTCCAGCGCCGTGACCAATGCCAAGAGTTCCTGATCGTAGATTGAGTATCTCTGTTGCGTGGGGTTCATGACTTGACTGAGGAAGCCGATGGGCTTACCGTCCTGTTCAAGAACTGCTCCGACTGCGTAACCAGAGGCATCTGTGTATAACTCGAAGGGCTTCGTCGTGTCGGGGACCTGTAAGGTAGTGAAGTCTATTAAGCGCTGTTTGAGCTGCCGCACCGCTTGCGTGTGAAGCTCTATCCATTTGAAACTGACGTCTTTATGCGCTAGATCAACCAGCGGCCGAGCAACGTCAGCATACTCTGGTCCCATGAGCATGCGACAGTAATTTATGGTACCGAGAAACTGGCGCACTTGCGCTTCATTCTCCAGCACCTCCGGCCAAAGCCGGATGGCTTCGATTTTGTCTTCTGCGGGTTTGATCCCCGCAGCAGATACAGTATAACCCAAATAAGTAATGGTTTGCCTTGCAAACTTGCATTTGCGGAATTTTGGGTAAAACTGATGTCGAAGAAAAATACTTAGGACTTGTCGCAGAAGAGAGACGTGCTCAGAGAGATCAGAGCTATAGATAAGTACATCATCCAGGTACGCAATAACGCCCTCCCCCAATAAGGGTTGTAAATAGGCATTAATGTTGGCCTGGAACGTAGCGGGAGCTCCCTTAAGACCGAAGGGCATCACGTGGTACTCGAATAGCCCGAGAACGGACCGGAAGGCCGTCTTCCACCGGTCTTCCTTAGCCATACGTATTTGATGGAATCCTGCTTCCAGGTCCAAGGTGGAAAAATACTTGGCGCCTCCGAGCAGCTCCAGAATGGTCTGAATGGAAGGTAGTGGAAAATCAGGGGCTATCGTAAGCGCATTCAAGGCTTGGTAATTGACAACCATCTGCATCTTCCGCTCCCCGAAGCCATCATCACGCTTGTCCACCATGATCGTAGAAGAACAAATAGGCGATTAGGTCAGTCCAATCCAACCATATTCCGATAATTTGGCTATCTTCTGTTTGTGGAAAGCGAGCTGATTTGGGGTCATACGGTAGATTGCGGATCTCGCTGGCAGTCTTCCAGGCGCCAGGAGAATATGATGATCGTGAGGGCGCTTCGGAGGTAAGCCTTTAGGTAAGGTATCGGGGAAAACCGCCCGATACTCGTGCAGCACCTGAGCAACCTCACTTGGAATATCCTGCGCCTCAGTTGAATTGATCCATTCGTCGAATAGAGTGTGTTCGAGTTTTGCCATAGGCCAGGGAGACTCCTCGTCGCTCTCCGCTGTCACTGAGGCGGTTGAGGCCAAAGGACTACGGCAGCCGGAGGACGTGGGTTGACTCCCTATCAACGCGCAACAAAGCGCGCCTTGCCATTCATCCGAGAGTCTTAAGGGCACTGCCGAACAAGCCTCAGGCAAAGCCAGTATGAGGTGCAAACCGTGCAACGGAGTCTTGAGATCGTTAGTATCGTCCGCTGCCTGACGAACGAGCGACGTTATCCGCGCCTTGGCCTTAGTCTTCGCGCGGGACTTGTACCTCTTTGGCGGCGGGCGTAGGAATACCGCTGTCTCCTCGGATGACATACCCGCCACTTGTTTGGCCAAGATCTCGTATGTTTGCTCTGCTGGAGTCCGAGGGTGGACTACGGTGAAACTATCGCTTTGCAGCGTCGATTCACCCGTCCGAACGACTGGTAGCTCGCACCACTGGCCATTCACATAGGTTCGGAGCTTGTCAGACTGGAAGTACCAGGCCACCTTGTGTTCCGTCAGCCAATCCAAACCCAAGACTAAGTCGTAGGGAACGGGTCCCACTAGAAAGTCCTCGGAAAAACGTGTATGTCCACACCACAACATCAATCCCGTCACTACCCGATCAATGCGTAATAGTGCACCTGTAGCTATGGTGAACCTATGTTCCCTTGGTAGTCTCCGCACTTTCAGCTGCAGTCGTTCGACCAATTTGGGACTAATGAAACTTCTCGAAGCCCCAGTGTCCAAGAGAGCCTCGCAAGGACTCCCCGCAAGCTCTACGCGAAGTACCGCCGTCGCACCCGCACAGCACAACGCTCCCCCTTGATCGTAAGGCTCTTTCATGCAAGTCTCCCTCCACCAGTGTGGCACAATCTCTGTCGCGTCTGACCTATCTCCGTCTTCGTCTTCTGTCGCCTGTGCAGACTTCCTGCTGCTATTCAACGTCGCGTCCGGAGTCTCTTCACTCAGGGTCGACTCTGACCCAGACTCCCGTCGCGTTTCCGGAAGCGGCGGAGTCCCTTCCGCGCGCTCGTCGCTCTTATCGGCTCCTCCCGAAGTGCGGAGGAGTTGGTTTCCCATCTCGTGGGAGACTGGAATGGCATTGTCGCTACCGTACACATCATCCCCTTGCCATGGCTACGCGGCCTAGAACGCTCGTCTCCACCCACGCCTAGGCCCGCACGTTTGATCGTTCCGTCTTCTCAGTGCTAGGACGGATGAGTGCTCTACTGCCCTTGTCCACCTGCTCAGGCCGGCTTCGTTCATACGTAGGACAGTCCCGAGCATAGTGTCCGACACCGCCGCACTTCTTGCAGATTTCCCCTGGACGTCTGGTACGTTCCCCTTTGCTAGGGCAGGCACGTGCAGGATGTCCGCGGCCCTGACACTCAAAGCAGTTAGCGCGGGTTCCCCCAGAACGATTTTCAATTTCCTGGCTCCCACTAAGTCCCATAGCTTGGGCGGCCTCGCTAATGGCGCGGTTGATCCTTTCTCGGAGTTCCAGCACACTCTGCTTGGGCTCGTGAATCCGCGCTGCGGCGGTTGCCGCTTGCTCCCACGACTGGTATTTCACGTGTCCGTTATTGGTGATTAGGAGATGGAGATCTGTCGGTAGTCCAGCACAATAGTAGTCCGCGATTTCGTCGGGGGCTAGACCCAAACCCCGTTCTGCCGCCGCCGCAAACTGATCGGTGTATTCCTTTGGGTCGCCGTTCCACCGTACCTTTGTCAACTCCGTTAACAATTGACTCTGTGACATTGTTCTGTCGAACCTCTCCAAAAGCCTGCGCCGTACTGTTGCCCAGTCACTTAGGTCGATAGTTTCCCGTAGATACATCAAATAAGTTAGAGCCGGGCCCACAAGGTGGTCTATGAGTGCATCTCCCCACTCGCGCGGTTCCAATCCCATTTGGGTTTACCGGCGCTCGATGCGCTTCAGAAAGGCCTTCATAGTGCTGCCGTCTTCAGGTAGTATAAGAGTCGTTGCGCCGGATGCTCCGGCTCCCCCTATTACCGTTCTAATCACACTCACTGCAGACTGGAATTGGTTCCAGGTGACGATGGGACTGTCCCCTGGCGTGACGTTGGGCAAAGGTGTCTCCTGCGGGGGCGCCTCCTTATGCCCAAGCGACCGCTCTGCCACGGTGGGTTTCGGAGTCGCGTGGCGGTGGTGGGCGGGTGTCCCGCTCGGCAACTTGTTGACCGACATTGTTGGAGTCTCCTGTGGTGTGGGACCGATGACGCGTCCGTTGCGGAGCTGCATCCCTTACCGAGGAAAGATTTCTAGGTGCGTGGCATTAAAACAAGATAATTATACTCCCAAGTCCGGAAAGAATAAAGATATTAATCCCGGAACAGCCTTCAAATGTAGTGCGCGGCGCCTACTGCTGCCACTACGCTGTTTCCTGTCCCTCTACAGGTCTACATTCTACACCTAGATTAGCCCGATTTCTCGGTCTATACCGCTTATTCCCGTCGAAATACGACGATTCAGGAAGTGTGTGTGTTCACTGTCTTCGATTCACTCCCTTCTCGGAGCTTACCCCCTAGACCCTAGGGGGGAGAGGTCGCATTGGTGCCGGCGCTATCGCCTGCCCCAGTCTCCACACGATTTCCGCACAATTCACGTTTTCACTAGAACTCACTAACGGTTTCCTCATTTTTTCATGTATTGGGGGGGCCCTGTCCCCCTCCAGTGTCGCGGCCCCTTGCAGGTCGCTAGCTAGCTATCATCCCTAGGACACTAGTCAGCCCCATTGTAGTGTCTCAGCACTACAAGCGTAGTCGCAGCAGTAGGCGCTGTGCGCTACACGTGGGGGCTGCTCCGAGATCGAAATCTTTTGTTACCTGATCTGAGACTAGAAATACTATGTTTTAACGATTCACACCTAGATATCTTCGCTCGGTAGGGGATACATCTCCGCAACGGACGCATTATCGTTCCCACACAGCAGGAGACTTCTACAATGTCAGTAAGCAAAATGCAGAGCGGGACGCCGGCCCATCATTGCCATGCTACTCCGATGCCCACCGTGGCAGAGCGGCCGCATGGGGATAAGGAGGCACCCCCGCAGGTGATACATATGACCACTGTTATGCCAGGGGACAGTTCCTTCGTCACGTGGGACCAATTCCAGTCCGCTATGAGTGTGATAAGAACTGTTATAGGGGTGACCGTGGAATCGGGCGCAATGACTCCCATACTACCAGAAGACGGCAGCACTATGCAGGCCTTTCTGCTGCGCTTCGACCGCCGGTACACTCAGATGGGATTGGAGCCGCGCGAGTGGGGAAACGCACTTATTGACCACCTTGTGGCCCTGGATGTATCTACGGAGAACTATCAATCTAAGCGGCTGAGCGCAGGCTTTTAAAGCGGTTCGACAAAACAATGTCGTAGAGTCAATTGTTAACGGAGTTGGCTAAAGTACGGTGGAATGGTAACCCGAAGGAATACACAGGCCGGTTTGTGGCTGTAGCGGAGCGCGGTTTGGATGTTTCCCCCGACGAACTCGCTGACTACTACTGCACCGGGCTACCGACAGACCTCCATCTTCTAATCACCAATAACGGGCGGGTGAAATATCAGTCGTGGGAACAAGCGGCGACAGCCGCAGCATGCCTCTACGAGCCCAAGCAGAGTGTCCTGGAGCTCCGAGAAAGGAACAGTCGAGCCATTTGGGCTGCTATCCAAGCCAATGGACCTCGTCGGTGCCAGGAAATCGAAAATCGATCTGGGGGAACCTACGCGAACTGCTTTGAGTGTCAGGGTCGCGGACACCCGGCACATGTCTGCCCCGGCAAGGGGGAACGTACCAAACGTCTGGGGGAAATATGCAAGAAGTGTGGCGGGCTGAGACACTATGCTCGGGAATGTCTTACGTATAAACGACGCCGGACAGAGCCGGAGGACAAGAGCAATAGGTAGCCCACCCGTCCTAGCACTGAGAAGACGGAACGATTAAACAAGGGGGCCTAGACGTGGTTGGAGACGAGCGTTCTAGGCCGCGTAGCCATGGCAAAGGGATGACGTGTGCGGTAACAACAGGCCCTAATGCCATTCCAGTCTCCCTTGCGTGGGGAAATCAACTCCTCAGCATTGCGGAAGGAATAATTCGAGCGATGGGCACGCCGAAGGGACTCAGCCGCTTTCGGAAACGCGGTGGGAGTCGGGGTCGGCGTCGATCCTGAGTGAAGAGGCCCCGGAAGCGACGACGGATAGCAACAGGAAGCCTGGAGAGGCAATAGAAGACAGCTACAGGTCAGACGCGACAGATATTGTGCCACACTGGTGGTGGGAAACTTGCACGAAAGAGCGTTACGACCAAGGGGGAGCATTGTGTTATATGGGTACGACGGCGGTACTTCGCGTTGAGCCCGCAGGGAGTCCTTGTGAGGCCCTCTTGGACACTGGGGCTTCGAGAAGTTTCATTAGTCCTAAAACAGTCGAACGACTGCAGCTCAAGGTGGGGAGACTTCCAGAAGAGCATAGGTTCACCGTAGCTGCAGGTGAACAACTACGTATTGATCGGGTTGTGACGGGATTGACGATTTTCCGGGGACTTTTTAATGGGACTCGTTCCCTTTGACTTAGTCTTGGTTTTGCATTGGCTGACCGAACACAAGGTGGCTTGGTACTTCCAGTCCGACAAACTCCGAACTTATGTGAATGGCCAGTGGTGCGAGTTACCGATCGTTGGACTGGTGAAGCACAGCTGCAAGGTGACATTCCCACCGTAGTCCACCCAACGAACCCAGCAGAGCAAGCACATGAGATATTGGTCAAACAAGTGGCGGGTATCTCAGCCGAGGAGGCAGCTATATTCCTACGCCCGCCTCCAAGGAGGTATAAGTCCCACGCGAAGAATAAGGCGAAGGCGCGGATAACGTCGCTCGTTCGTCAGGCGGCGGCTGACACAAAGAATCTCAGGGCTCCATTGCACGGTTTGCATCTCATACTGGCTTTGCACGAAGCCGGTTCGACGGTGTCCCTAAGGTTCTCCGATTAATGGCAAGGCGCGCTTTGTTGCGCGTTAATTGGGAATCAGCCCACGTCCTACGGCTGGCGTAGTCCTTCGGCCTCAACAGGCTTGGCGGCAGCGGAGAGTGACGAGGAGTCTCCCTGGCCTATGGCAAAACTCGAGCACACTCTGTTCGACGACTGGATATTCGACAGTGGCGCAGGATATTCCATGTGAGACTGTCCAGGTGTTGCACGAGTATCGAGAGGTTTTTCCCGATAACTTACCTAAGGGATTACCGCCGAAGCGCCCTCATGAGCACCATATTCTACTTGTGCGTGGCTTCCAGCGAAATCTGCAATGTACCGTATGACCCAGATCAGCCCACATTCCACAAACAGGAGATAGCTAAATTATCGGACAGTGGTTGGATCGAATCGACCTATTCGCCTATTTGCTCTCCTACGACCACGGTAGACAAACGTGATGATGGCTCCGGGGAGCGGAAGATGCGTGTGGTTGTCAATTACCAGGCTCTAAATGCCCTCACGATAGCCCCTGATTTTCCATTTCCTCCCATTCAAACCATTCTCGAGATGCTGGGAGGCGCCAAGTATTTTTCCACTTTGGATCTTGAAGCAGGATTCCATCAAATACTTATGGCTAAGGAAGACCACTGAAAGACGGCTTTCCGGTCCGTTCTCGGACTATTCGAGTACCGAGTAATGCCCTTTGGCCTTAAGGGTGCTCTCGCTACGTTCCAGGCCAATATTAATGCCTATCTACAACCTTTATTGGGACAGGGCGTTATTGCGTACCTGGAGGATGTACTTATCTATAGTTCCGATCTCTCTGGGCACGTTTCTCTCCTGCGACAAGTCCTAAGCATTTTTCTTAGACATCAGTTCTACCCAAAATTCCACAAATGCAAGTCTGCAAGGCAAACAATTACATATTTGGGTTATATCATTTCTGCTGCGGGGATCAAACCTGCAGAAGATAAAATCGAAGCCATCCGGCATTGGCCAGAGGTGCTCAAGAACGAAACGCACGTGTGTCAGTTCCTCGGTACCCTAAATTACTGTCGCATGTTCATGGGGCCGGACTCTGCAGACGTTTCCTGGCCGCTGGTTGATCTCACGCGTAAAGACGTCAGTTTCGACTGGACAGAGCTTCACACGCAAGCGGTGCGGCAGCTCAAACAGCGCTTAATCGACTTCACTACATTACAGGTCCCTGACACCACGAAACCCTTCGAGTTATACACAGATGCCTCTGGTTATGCGATCGGAGCAGTTCTGGAACAAGATGGCAAACCCATCGGCTTCCTCAGCCAAGTCATGAACCCCACGTAACAGAGATACTCGATCTACGATCAGGATTTCTTGGCGTTGGTCATGGCACTGGACAAGTGGTCGCACTTGCTCCGTGTTTCCAAGGTAACGGCTTACACTGATCATCAAGCTCTCACCCATCTCCAACGACTCCAAGCATCGACCGCTCTCGTGGTCGGCCTGCCAACTACAGGGAGCTCGCCGGAATTCGTTCGCGACGACCTAGACGACGCAGCCTGCCGTCCGCACCTTCACCTGCGCCGCCGGAACCCAACCCAGAGGCGGAACATCCTACACCCACAACGAAGACACCAGCTGACCCGCCTGATGTCCGCCAATGGCCGCAACCTTACTCGAAGTGTCCCGTTTTTCGTGTTCCCTACAAAGCCGCAGCGAACCAACCAGGAGAAGCTCTGCAAATCGAGTTTTGCAATCGCTAATTCACCTTTCGGTACGTAGAGCCTTACCTGCACATCCGCGTTCATGGACTGTGGCGCATCTGCGTTCCACAATTCCCTGAGTTCCTTACTCAAGTTCTGCATTCACATCACATCCATGTCACAGCCGGCCATCGAGGCCAGAAAAAGACCTTTGCGGCTCTCAGCAAGCACTACTACTGGCCAGGAATGCGCGCCTACACTACTGCTTATGTTTAGTCATACACTCACTGTCGAGCGTCAAAGTCTCTTAACCAGAAGCCTGCAAGCCTTCTTCAACAGTTCCTCATCCCTTCTCGTCGGTGGGCGCACGTGAGTCTTCACTTTATCACAGATCTTCCTCTTACGGCGACAGGGCACGACTCGATTCTCGTGATGGTCGACTCCCTCAGTAAGATGGCTCATTTCGTTCCTGCAAAGAAGCCATTCACAGCAGCAGACACCGTGGAGCTTCTCGCAGACTGTCTTATCCGCTATCACAGTTTTGCACAGGTGCTCATATCGAGCCGCGATCCGCGCTTCCAGTCGGATCTCTGGAACCAACTCTGTAGCCGTTTTAACATCAAACGGTGCATGTCCTCGTCATACCATCCCCAAAGCGACGGTCAAACTGAACGGGTTAACCGCACATTGGAGCAGATGCTTCGTACCTACATCCAATCTGACGAACGCGAGTGGGAGCGTTTGATTCCGGCCTTGGGACTTGCTTACAACACAACAAGTCATTCATCCACCGAGCTCTCGTAGACACCGTGAAGCTTCTTGCAGATCGTCTTATCCGCTATCACGGTTTTCCACAGGTGCTCATATCGAACCGCGACCCCCGTTTCCAGTCGGATATCTGGAACCACCTCTGTCGCCGCTTTAAAATCACACGGTGCATCTCCTCGTCCTACCATCCCCAAAGCGACGGCCAAACTGATCGGGTTAACCGCACACTGGAGCAGATGCTTCGTACCTATATCAAGTCTGACGGACGCGAGTGAGAGCGTTTGCTTCCGGCCTTGGAATTTGCTTACAACACAACAAGTCATTCATCCACTGAGCTCTCTCCTTTCGAGGTCATGATTGGCGATAATTTGTTGATATCATAGGCGCGTTAGCTCCTACGCTCACTCCTCCGATGACTAAGCTTTTCCAGCAGCTCTGTGACAGAGCACGGAGCAATATCCTGAAGGCAAAATGGCAGCAGAAGTACTACGCAGACACAAAGCGCCGAGCAGTGGAGTATGCAGTGGGAGACAAGGTCTGGCTCAGTAGCAAGCACCTACCGCCTTTCAACAGCTGCCCTAAGTTCGAACCCCGTTACCGCTGACCCTTTGAAGTCATTGAACGCATAGGAACCGTCGCTTACCGTCTCGCTCGGCCTCCCACCTATGAATGCCACAACGCTTTTCACGTTTCGCAGCTAGTTCCCCACCGCCCCCCCTCCTCGCGATTTGGTTCCCCCGGAAGCCGACGCCGCCTAGCCTCCTATCCGCGATGGAGCAGGCAATCCAACAGAGGAGTGTGAAGTCGATTATATTTTGGACCAACGCGTCTCGGGAGATGAAGCCCAGTACCTCGTAAAGTGGCGCAGGACCCGTGAAGATCGCGCCACATGGGAGCCCGCTCACCACCTTACAGGTTGCCCCGCTTTGCTTCGCGCTCGGCGCCGCCGCCAACCAAGGCGTCTTCAGGCTCGAAACAATCTTGATCCTTCCAAGGCATAGAGGTTTGGGCCCGTCATCTTTCGCCGCCTGCAGGACGGGCGCCCTTCAACACGGAGGGGTGAGGAAGCGCTGTGCACCGCATGCGCTCACGGCGTTAGCTTTAGAAGAGCATAGAGATAGAAAAGGCAAAAAGAATGTGTTTTGGGTAGGTCTGTTCAGCCCGGCAAGGGGGGAAGTTGTAGTGCACGCGCACTACAATAGGGCTTGCTGGTGACCTATAGAGGAGATAGCTAGCTAACGACCTACAAGAGGTCGCAACACTGGAGGAGGACAGGACCCTTTTACTAGGATCAAAGTGAGACAATTTCTCCGCGGATTAACATGCATACACTAGAGGTGCCTGTAAATGCGTGGAGACTGGGGCTGGCGATAACGCCGGCACCAGTGCAGGCCTCCTCCCAACAGGGCCTAGGAGGCGAGAACCCCGAGAGGGTTTTAGAGATAACAGATTTTGGAAAAACTAAAAATAACTGTATTTCGTTCTACTTAGGCTACTGTTTCAGGGAAATGGGCCATCGTTAGGTGCTGATTATAGGCCCCTACTCGAGGGGGCAGGTAGCAGCGTAGTCGCAGCAGTAGGCGCTGTGCACTACATTAAGAGGGTAGCTAGCGGATGGCGTATAAGAGCTTAAGACACTGAAAGAGCAACGTAAGGCACTTTATCAGCAAAATAACATGTGTAAATTATAATTGTCTGTGAATACCCGAAGAATGGGGCTGGCAATAGCGCCAACGCTGGCGCGGGCCACCGTCCCACCGGGCCAGGAAAGCAGGAAACCTCAGTGGAGGGACGTTTTAGAAAAATCGGATAGAGAACTCGAAAGATGGCTGCTTTTATTGATAAATTGGTATTTTTTTCATGAGATATGTGTCGAATGTAGAGGGTTTGTCAAAGGGCGCCCTACTCGTGGGCCAGGTAGCAACGTAGTAGCAGCAGAAGGCGCTGTGCAACTACCAAATACAGTATGCATCGGTTCCTTCTAAAACTATGGAAATTGCCAACCACGCAGGTTGACCTTGCGTTTGTGCTAGACCAACAAGTACGAAATACTTTCGGTTTCTTAAGCTCCTGCGAGGAAAAGCCTGGGAAACGGGCGAACTAGCATGCTGATGTATTTGGTCTGAACTGAACCCGTAAATTAAGAAAGAGGCACGCAGCCTTGCCCAGTGCCAAGTATACGCTGGAAGGGAAGGCTGCGCTGCAATCGAGGCCTCTGTTGGCGGACGATGACAATGCGCGGTGGTCGAAGTATGCTCATGCAAAAGGCAAAACACCTGCATCGGCACGACGTAAATGCAGCGCGCGAAGGTGACATTTTAGGAGAAAATCAGGTACCCAGACTTAGAAGGAAGAAACAGCAGAATGCCTTCCTCAGGTTCCTGTGATTTGAGCAGTGCTCTAGAGGTTCAGTGGCTGTCGTGTGTGCCGCAGTTGCCTGAGCCGTTATGATTGTAGATCCCAGTGATATATTGGTACTTTTACTGTTACGGATGATGGCGCTCAAGTCAGCACAAATAATGTCGAGTGAATAGCTGTGCTTATGGGCTGCGGTGAGCACGCAGCC